CATCACCACCCCGGTCATCAGCATCACCACCACCACCATCATCACCATGGTCATCATCACCATCACCATCACCACCCTGTTCATCAGCATCATCACCGTCATAATCACCATCACCATCATCACCATCACCACCCTGGTCATCACCACCATCACCATTGTCATCATCACCATCACCATCCTGGTCATCACCATTATCACCATTGTCATCATCATCACCACCATCATCAATATCATCAGCATCACAATCATTATCACCCTGGTCATCACCATCATCACCATGGTCACCATCACCATCACCACCCTGGTCATCAGCATCATCACCGTCATCATCACCATCACCATCATCAATATCATCAGCATCACAATCATTATCACCATGGTCATCACCATCATCACCATGGTCATCATCACCATGGTCATCATCACCACCCTGGTCATCAACATCATCACCATGGTCATCATCACCATCATCATCACCACCCTGGTCATCAGCATCATCACTGTCATCATCACCATCACCATCATCAATATCATCAGCATCACAATCATTATCACCCTGGTCATCACCATCATCACCATTGTCATCATCATCATCACCACCATCATCATCACCATGGTCATTATCACCATCACCGCCCTGGTCATCATCACCATCATCAATATCATCAACATCACAATCATTATCATCCTGGTCATCACCATCACCACCACCACCATCATCACATCATCATCATCATGGTCATCATGGTCATCAGCATCATCACCCTCATCACCACCACCCACTACCTACCATCACCTCTGATGGAGATAGACGCACATAACACTAAGTGATGCTTTTCTTCCTCCTTCTCCTCACATAAAGCACTTACATCTATCTTTTGATTCTCAAACCTTTGCAGACATCAGAATCCCTGGAGGGTTAAGTAGAATAACTAACTCTAGAGCACCAGGCCCTGCCCTGGAGCTGGTGAGTTGATGGGACTGGGTCTCAGATCTATCTGGCTGATAAGTCCAGCATTTGAATTAAAGGCCAGACGAACTCTACCAAACATCCTAAAATTTCTCAGACAAGCCTGACTTCACGACAGCAGTTGGATGTCATCTACATTTTCCAGGTGAACATATCTGATCCCTCTTCAATGAGCCTCCAAGCAGCATTTCCCCACATACTTGACATCATATGACTCATTCTTCAGGATTGGGAGAACAGTGAGTGAAAAATAAAGGGTACGTGTTTCTTACGGACAAGGACACACAGAGCAAATTCAGTCTCCTTACATGATGAGAACACAAGGGAAAAGATATGAAGGAGGAAGCTGGCTCCAGCCATGGACAAGTGGGGCTCAGGCTGGGCACACAGGTCAGCCAGGACCACATTCTGCTGACTACCTGGGCCACATCTGCAGTGTACAAAGTCCAATTGGTTTAATGGTATTTTGTACCATTTTCTTAGGACCACTTGTGACTGTCATTAGCAAAAAAACAAGAGATGGCGTTGGGTTCTGCAGGTGCGGTTCTGCTGCCGTGAGGGTGGACTACATACCCTGTCAGGACTCACAGAAAAGGAGTGTCCCCGTCCCAGGTGCTCCCTGTGGGAATGGGACCGTTGAGGGATTGGCAGAGAAGTGCAAGCCACCTTCATCAGCCTTTTGTCCTGGATGCCATGGGACACTTTATCCCCCAGAGAATCAACTGGCAGTTATAAGCCACTGCCCAGAAGAATCCGAAAGGGCTCTTGGTGTTATCCAAGTATCTGCTGTGATGCAAAGGGCGTTAGCAATTAGTTTTCTCAGCAATTTAAGCAACTTTTAAAACTTTGTTTTAAAAAAGTCCAAAGAACCACATTATTTAACAGCCAAAACCAAGTTTTTTAAACCAAGCCCAGTAAAGCACAGCTAACGCCACACCCACAGGGGCAGATGTGGCCACACCAGGAAGCAGAAGGAGCCCCAGGATCCCTCACAGTCACAGCTGGAAGAAGGGATTTCCTTGGAGAGTAACAGCAATCATGAAACACCCGTTAGCCACCAGAATCCCATTTCTACAACCCATTTACTATTAAACATTTGCAAATGGCACGATTCAAGACTGAAATCGAGGCACCCCATGATGGAACAACTAAGTAAACTCTTTTTGCAGTGGTTATTAAACATCTGGGCCCAGCTGTTGGGCTGAACTCATTCATTCTCCATACATCAAGCCTGTATATATGTATCAGTGATATATAAGAAAGATATTAGTAAAATCATCCATGGAAACTAGTTCCACAGCCCTCTCTCAGTGCAATAAAACATAAAAATTATTTCTACATAAGGAGAATCATGGACACATCAATTTTTGGGTCAAGTGAATACATCTAACTCTGTATAATATTGGAAAGCACTTCTAGAACTTAGTGCATTTAGATAAAAACATTTATTTTCACCCTAAACTGTCTGCTATCTGGTCAACAGCATCCACATGAGAAGAGCTTCACACCCAGTGCCACGGAACATTATCCAGCCGTAAGAAAGAATGAACGCCTGACACCTGCTACGACCTTGATAAACCCTGGGTCACAATGCCCAGTGGGAGAAGCCACACACCAAGAGTTACGTATTATGATTCCATTTCTGTGACATGTCTGGAATAGGTAAATCCAGAGACACAGAGTAACAAGTGGCCGTCTAGGGGCTGGGGGAGGAGAAAAGAGTGACTAGTTAGTGGGTACGAGATTTCCTTTTAGGGTAATAAAGAAGTCCATAACTTGGCCTGGGGCACTGGCTCACCCCTACAATCCTAGCACTCTGGGAGGCTGAGGCAGGCAGATCACTTGAGCTCAGGAGTTTGAGAACAGCCAGAGCCAGAGAGAAACTCTGTCTTGACCAAAAATAGAAAAACTAGCCGGGTGTTCTGGTGGGCACCTATAGTCCCAGCCAGTTGGGAGGCTGAAGCAGGAGGATTGCTGGAGCCCAAGAGTTTGAGGTTGCTGTGAGCTAGGATGTCACCGCACTCCACTCAGGGCAAGAGAGTGAGACTCTGTCTAAGAACAAAACAAAAAAAATGTGCATATTAGACAGTGGTGATGGTTGCACAACACAGTGAAGGTGGAATGTGCTCAATGCCACTGAATCACATATGTTACAGGGTTAAAATGTGAAGTGGTATGTTTTATGTATTTTACCACAATTAAAAAAAAATCAGAACCTATGCACATATATGTTCCATTGTAGAGCACACTGACCCATGCCGGGTTGGGCTGTTCTCCCTTCACAAGGGGACAGCAGTAGGGGGTGGGGTGGGGGTTGCCAATGATGACAAGCCACCTCCCACGAGATGCTCCTGATGCCATCCTACTCCCCAGGCAGGCAGTGGATTCACCACTTTCTAACAGCCGCACAAGTAAAAGCACCCGTGTCTTCACTGACCCTGCAAAGCGCGTCCTTGAACACTCCACCTGGGTGCATGTCTGCACCATTGATGCTGTTTGCTCTAAACAAATCGTAGCAGAGCTGAACAGAAGAGCTGAAATATACCAACAGCTTCAGCACCAGGAGGTGGAGGGACACAACACAGTCTCCAAACAGAAAACGTCCACAATCAAACCAGCCGACCTCGTGCCACACGGACACGAGAAGACACAAAGACTTCAGCCTTCCTGCTGAAATCCACTCACAGGCCGCTCTTATTTTTCAGGACTCTCTTTACCTGAAATGGAGTCTGGCTGTTGTAGTTTTTTAATTCCTTATTTCCACCTCGAAACAGCAGCACTCGTGCACAGCTGTCCTGCAAATTGGAAAAGGAGAAAGCAGTTTGTAAAACAGTGCCACAGACAGTCTCCAAAGATATCTGTCCAGAGGCTCAAGCTCCCAAGAAATGAGGACAGTCTTGGCGCAAAGTTAAAAGGGGGGGGGGCACGTGGCCTCTGGCAGCTGCAGGATGAGAGCACACAGGGTCCCACACGCTCTCTGCGGTAGTGGAGGCTTCACTGCTGCAAACGCTCTCAGGACGACAGCTTGGCAGAACCCATAAAAATTTAAAATATATACCCCCCGTGGCCACATGATTCCATTTTATGAGACTATGCTACAGAAAGTCTTGCACATGTGTCTAAAATATATAACAAGTGAAAAGCCATAAGTAAAATACCAATCGAAAGGAAGCGGAAATCTGACATTTATTCTTTAAAAGCTTAAAGTCGATATTGTAGGAAGCAAAGATAATGTCCAGAAGGACCACACCAGTTCACAGCTTTTAGTGTTTTAGGAAGGAAAAGGGGTTAGGGAGCAAACGGCAGGCACCTTTCTTTACACATAGATTTAATTTTTTTTATTGTTTGTTAAAAGCCGGCAAAAGTTATTGCTCATCTATTTTCATAATGAAAACAGATCTACACCTGTCCATTTATTAAGCATCTACCATCCGTCCGTGAGGCTGACAGTTCTTGCCACCCCTTTCAAAGGTCCCTATGACGTGCGTGTTGAGGGGGGGAATGACCACGAACGAAAAGGCGGATGGTACAAAAGTGATGTAGGCGTACTGACCATAAGAAAGAGTTTGCCTAGTAAATTCAGTTGACTGTTCAGAACAAGTAGATTCTGGTTTTGGAAAACACTTAAAAATGGTCGAGGGGCTGGGTACTCACCCTGGTCACTCACACCTGTAATCCCAGCACTTTGGGAGGCTAAGGCAAGAGAAGGGCTGGAGGCCAGGAGTTCAAGACCAGCCTGGGCAACATAGAAAGATTTCATCTCTACAAAAAATTAGCCAGGTATAGTGGCTCACGCCTTCAGTTCCAGCTTCCTAGGAGGTCAGGGCAAGAGGTTCACTTGAGGTCATGAGTTCAAGACCCGCTGAGCAACAGTGAGACCTTGTCTCTACTAGAAATAGAAAAATAAGCTGGACATTGAAGCAGGCTACTCAGGAGGCTGAGGCTAGAGGATTGCTTGAAACCAGGAATTTGAGGTTGCTGTGAGCTATGACGACACTACTGCACACTAGCTAGGGTGACAGAGGAAGACTTGGTTTCAAAGAATAAAAAAGTCAAGGACAGGCTGGTGTCACTCGTCCCACAGCAGGGTAGCCTCCCACTGGGCTGGGGCACCCCCCTACAGGACCGTGCTGATGGCCCCAGCATGAGTCCCAGCTCGCCTGCCCCGGGTGTGTCGGGCATCCATCTTTACCTGTGCTCTGGTGTCTAGACAATGGGCACAATAACCAGACACAACACCTGACAGGTAACCGTCAAATAAAGGATTAAGTGAAGTAACCAACCAGGGATTCCCACCTGGACAGGTCACAGCCCCCACCCCCGTCCTGGGGAATAGCAAGGGTCCAAGGGAGCGGACGAGGCACAGGCCACAGGACCTGGCAGAACAGCAGATGTAAAAAGAGAGCTAAAAACCCAGAGAGACAGAAGGCAGCTGAGCGGTTGTCCAGGGCTGGGAGGGCCAGAGGGATAGAGAGCGACTGCTGCTAACCGGCCCAGGCTTTCTGCTTGGGGCGATGAAGATGATCTAATGGGGTGTGAATTATGTCTCAGCAAAGGTGCTACCTGCTGAAAAGAGGGAGGAAGTGAACCACGTGGGCAGAAACTCTGCGTCAACGTGAGCTCTCAGGACCTGGCAGCTCTGTCCCCCCATCCCCCACCACGCGGGCAAGGGGTCCCGGGCCTCCGCCCTGTGATGGCAATCATCAATGTGAGGGAGCAGACAGAAGCCCGGAGCAGATGACTCCGTTCTGGGGGTGGCCTCTGACGGGGGTGGGCTGCTCAGAACACAGGAGACTCAGGTGGGATGGATCTGAATCATGCAGACAAAGGCCACCCAGCCCCTGTGTCCTATGCCGCCAGAGTCCTGGGGCCTCAGCAGCACTCACCGCTGGCTTTGATCACCTTCTGTATAAACGCCCACCTGTAAGCTTGGGGGTGCACTCTGCTCATTCCCATCCAAGGCCGCCTCTGTGCAGAGGGGTCGTGGCTGGCGATGCCACAAACCAACGGAGAAAGTAAGCGTAGGCCACCCCATGCATGGTGCTGAGAACCCTGTCCTGCCGCCCTGCAGGAAGGCCAGACTGCTCAGGAGATTCCCCCAGAGCCTCTACAGACCAATTCCAGTGAGACACAAACCCCAAAAGTGTCCCTATACCCTGGGGCGGTGGTTCTCGACTGGGGGCAATTTTGCCCTCTAGGGGGCATTTAGTTGCCCCAAACATCAACACAGAACTATCCTGCCCCAGATGGTGCTCGGGTGACAAGCCCTGCCCTGGGACTCCCAGCATCCCTGATGGCAGGCACTGACCATGAGCAGCAGGTGCTCCCAGAGAACAAGAGAACAGGACCTGTCTTCCCTGCATCGCCCATCCCTGCCACACGCCACGGCCCCATCTGGCCCAGAGGAGTCTCTTACCAGAACATGGGACAGGACTCAGGGAGGGCCCGGCAGGATTTACAGAGGACTCTGGCTGCTCTCTGAGAAGGCAGGGAGACAGAGGCTGCCCTCTGCTGACCTGGGGCCAATTCACTGGGCACTGCAGTTAAAGGAGAGGGCAGGAAAGAAGCTCAAGCTGAAGGATCAGATGGGAAAAAAGCCAGGACAAGGGAGCACATCTGCCAGGCGTTCCACTGTGCTAAACAAGGAGCTGTGGGCATGCAAGAGCGGGATGGTCTGAGTGGGGGGGTGGGGGTGGGGGTGGCAGGGGGGCACACCCCACGGGGCTAGAGCCAAGAAGCCCGGAAACCACAACGTGGACTCGGGTTTCTTCCCTGAGATCTCCCTACTCTTCTAATTTCTGCCATGAGCATGTGTTTATGCCTTGCTTTGAGCACAGTAAAAAATATAATTTTAAAAAGATACAAATATGTTCAGCAAACACATCTTTCATATTTGGGGTTCAATTAAATCCAGGATTAAGAAAAAGCCCTGGCATCAATTCTGAAGTGCCCAAGGTCACTGGACCTGGGATAAGGGCAGGTCCAGACCCCTGGGTCTAGTTATTTCAGCCCAAGGTTTCAAACTACAGCCCTTAGGCCTGCGATGCCCATTTGTTTTTGTAAATAAAGTTTTATTGGAACACAACCACATTCATTCACTTACACATTTTCTGTGCTGCTTTGGAGCTGCCAGGGCAGAGCTGAGTTGCTATGAGAAAGAACCCTATAGCCTGAAAAGCCTAAATTAGCTGCTCTCCCACCTTTAACAGGACAATTTTGCCTGCATCTCCCCAGCTCAGACGTGTTTTCACAGAGACTCATCTGTGTGGCCAGATGCCTTAATACTGAACATATTAACAAATGATCTTAAGGCCCTGACCAGGCTGGTGACAGGATTGCTGGGTGACAGCCAGCTTATGTGCTAACAGGACAGGTTCAAAGTGGTTCCACCTCTCAGGGCAAGTCCCCTGAGCCTCAGTTTCCCCCTCTATGCATGTGCACAGCAGGCTTGATAATGGGGCAAGGGGCCTGGCTCTAGTCAATGCCCCTTCCTCAGAGAGTGTATCTGATCCATGGAAAGCAAGGCCCACTACATCCCCTCTATGCCCCAGTCACAGGCACCTGCCAGGTACCGGGAATGGTGAGTTTCTGTGGGCGGCCAGCACTGCAGTAGCTTCACACGATGTCCCCCTCTCCACTGGATGAGAGGCAGAGAGAGCTGAGCGCACTGGCTGGGCCCCTACACTGTCCCTGTCCTGATCCAGACCCTCCTGTCTGTGCTCTGACTTTGAAACTCACCCAGCAGCCCAACCACAAGTCATCGATCTTCCCTTCAGTTGCCCCCAGCCGGGTCCTGTCATTTGCAGTTGCTGGCATCTTCATTAAAACAGCAGTACCATCAGGCAACAGTGAATAAAATATATCTTTTTGCTTTAATAAAAAAGAAAAGGAGGAAGGACTTTAAGAGAACTGAGGCAGGGGAGACGGCAGGGCTGGGGGAATGTGGGGAATTTCAGCAGGTTTTCTTCTGGGGCATGGGGGGGATGGGGGCAGGGAGGAGGAAAGGGGAGAAGGACCCCCAGGGGATGAGGGCCAGTGGGAACATGAAGGCTGGACCCTGGGGGACCTCGCCCTGAACTGACTTTGCTCTGGGTTCCAAGTGCACCCTGGCCCAGAGGCCTGGAAGGACCATCCAGCATGGACAGTCCAGAGGAGGGTCAGAGCCACCCGGCCAATCAGAATTCAGGACACAGGAGCCCTGGGACACCCCTCACCTGACAGCCCTTACTTCTCAGCAAGAGCTTGCCCTGAAAATCCCCTATCCTAAAGGATGCTTATTTCCTATAAAGGACTGAGAATAAACCCTTCCAGGCATTGCTATTCTAAGAGCAATGCAGTTTGGATCCTAGAAAAGGCCCCACTGGCCCATAAAGGGATGACCTTGACCAAGTCAATATTAACCAAGCCCCTCGATCAGTAATTTCCAACCAGAGTGCTGAGAGGAGCTTAGGTGTGCCGTGAAAACAGTTAAAGATCATTAATTATTTTCAAAAGAAGTTCAAAGCACAGTAAATATACCCCCCCCTTTTTTTTTTAACTCTTTTGGTTTTTTGATCATCACAATTTAAGTGTGCCACAGAAGTTTAACTGTAGGTCCAAGTGTGCCATGAGATAAAAAGGTTGGAGAACACGGCCCTAGATACGTGACTGGTCACCGTAAGGCTGACCCACACGAGATCAGGGTCCAGTGAGCTACGCCAAAACTGGAGGGTAAAGGGTTCACCTGGCTGAGTCCCAATGACGCCTGGGCCTGTGGGAGCTCTCAGGCCCCGACAGGTGCGTCTGCATGTGTGGGCACACGCAGGTGTGCACTGTGTTCTGAAGCTCAGAAAACAGATCCATTCCTTATGATTCAACCATCTAGGCACTCCTGCCAGTGGATGACGGGAGGCCCCATTTTTCAGAGAAGGAAGCAGAGGTTCAAAAGTGAAAAACTGTGACAACTTGGGGCTTCAGACAGGGAGGGAAGGAAAAGTGATGTAGGCGGGGGGCTAGCAGGGGCCTGCCCTGTTGCCCTGCGCACGCGGCACTCCTGTCGGGGTGCATCTTATTTGACTCATCTTTGTGCCTGAAGTTGGGGAACTATTCAGCCATAAAGAAAGATGGAGACTACGTCTTTCCTATTTACCTGGATGGATTTGGAGAATGTCCTCCCAAGAATCACAGGAATGGAAAAGCAAGTGCCCGATGTATTCAATACTAATAGGAAACCAGCAGATGAGCAACCACACACACACACACACACACACACACGAGAGAAAAACACAATTAAAGTCAAGAACGGGGCAGGGCGGAGGAAGAGGACCTGTGAGCTCCCACCTGACCGGCACACCTCCTAGGTGGAGGGCGCAGCTATGACTTCACCTAAGAAACACAAACGACCTCACCTAATCGTACGGAGCCTTATATTGCTCTGAAATAAAAAAATAAAAGAAAAAACAAAGGAAGAAGCCAACAAAGTATAGAGAGAAACAATTTGCTTTTTTTTTTTGAGGACCAAAGCCTTAAGAAGAAGGTCACGCACCGCCAGCTTTTTCCCGCATGTGTTCTCAGAGACACTTTCCTGACTACACGTGGCTCCCCCTGCACCCCACGGAGGACGCGGGGCCTCTGGGTTCCCCCAGCTGCTGCAGCCCTGACATTATCATTTCCGTTTTTCAGGTGAACAGACAGACTGAGAAGCGTGCTCCTGCCCAAATGCACTCCGAGCTGCAAACGCTCCGGGTACCACTCCCACCCTTGGAGACAGAGGCAAACAATCTTTTGGTCTCTGCCAGGCTCCAGCTGGAGAAGGGTCACAGACTGTTGAAACACAGCACAGGATGGGCGATCCTGAAGATCCACCAGAACCAGGCAAAGGAGAAAAGAGTGGTGGGGCCGCCCGTTGTCCCTGTGCCGTGGACAGGGGCGGGCAGCCAGGCATGAGGAGCCCAGCAATGAGGACAGAGCCCCTGAAGCCCCACAGAGGGGGACGCTGAGCAGGAGGCAGTGGCGGCAGGGGGCTGGGCGAGGGGGTCCCAGCGGAACTGGGCAAGGATGTGGGCCACGGGGTACAGGTATCTGGGTCACAGGAAGGGGCTTCCAGTAAGGGAGGGACACAAAACTTGTCTGCATGGTATGAAACCACTGCAGAATCCTGCAGAAACTGGACTTTGGGGCAGAGAGATGAAGGCAGGCCAGAGGTCAGGGGTGAGGGAGACGAGACGGGGTCCTAGGCAAGGCAGGGAATGGTGCAGAGGGCAGGGGGGGTGGGGTGGGAGTGCAGGATCCTGGGGCAGGAGTGAGGGTGAAGAGGAGGAGGAGGCAGCCGGGTCTCAGGCCGAGCTGCGGAGGGAAGGCTGCTACCCACAGAGTGGGTGGCTCTGAACTGGAGTCTCCTGAGAAGTCAGCACACGGGGGGATATTGTCCAAGCATCAGAAATCACTGCCAGAGCTCAGGGTAGAGCCTAGTGGGCAGGTCCTGACTGGAGCTGTCAGTGTTTTCCAGTGTGGAAGGGCACGGACAGGCCTGCCTGAGGTCGCTGTGGGAGAGAATTTGGTAACAGGCACGTGCAGGATGGACATCTAGAGATATTACCCAGATACTACGGAGATGCTGAGTGGATGGGGACTGGGGAGTGAGCACAGAAGAGCGTGTGGGCGGCAGTCCACCCTGAGCGGGGGTAGAAGTGTGACCGGACGGGGTTGGTGAGACGACAGGGAACGTGGAGGCCGAGTGCACAGACATCTCTCAGTGAGATTTTGGTAAGGATGGGCTCTCGCTTCTGCAGAGAGAAGATGGTGGGACATTTTTATAGAGAGGACAAAGGTCAAAACAGAGATACTGGGCAGCAGGATGTGAATTTGGGAGTCCCCACCCTGCCAATGCTGTCACCTTAACTGCACAGAGACTATCTTCACTTAAATGTCACACATTACTAAATACCCCACAAATTAGCAATTCACCTCCAGGTGAAATTATCCCTTACAACAGCAGTTCTCAACCTGTGGGTCACAACCCCTTTGTAACAATAAAATACACGGCGGCATTAGGAAGGTCGAGAACCACCGCTTTCAACAAGGCTGCCTGGTTAGCCATAAACATAACAACTCAGACGCTGCAATTAGTAAATGTGAAAGTGGTAACACGGACAGTTGGGACAGTGATGTCACGAGGCAAGGCTGGACTCTGGCCCCATGGACCAACCTCCCCGTGAACAGCTGTGCCCCAGAGCAAGAGCCAGGGTGGGCAGGACCACACCCCTCACGTGCCCGGGACCCGGTGCTTCTGCCTGACCTGTGCCCTGTAGAGCCACAGCTCACTCCAATGCATGGGTTATGGGAACGTGTCCCCTAAGGCCTGGCGCGGGGCATGGGCAGGAGGCCGGGTTTCACCATTTACTGAGTTACTTTTGGACTAAGTGTGGCTCCTCTCATGTGTTTAAAGAAAAAACCAACCAAAATATCCACCAAAAAGCACACCAGGGGGAATCTAAGGGTGTACCCACAGTGCTCGAGGCTTCAGGGATAAGCCTCCCCCCATCCCCGCCAGGTGACCCTGTGGAAGCAGGCACAGAGCTGCCAAGCTCTCCGTGGGACAGTGGCAAGAGCCAGAGACGCCAACGGAAAACGTGCCCCTCTTCTCACCTGGGCTCTCGCTGAAATCAAAAGACTTGATCCAGAGGGGTGGTGGTTCCCTGTGTTTTTTACCTTCCAGACAAATTGGCTGGGCCTAATAACCTTTGATATTTAAAACTCCCCTGCTCCTTCATTATCCGGGGCAGAAAAGCAAACTCCAGGCTGCCTCCCTTCCTCCAGAGCCCTCGGAAAGCCAGCAGGAGGTGAGGGAGCTGACAGATTAAACACGATTTGCTGCTTACAATCAAAGCCCTAATTAGGTGATTTCATAAAAGAAGAGACGATATTCTGATCACAGTATATGTTATTAGACGTGCAGGGCAGAGGCCTGCCCCAAACTGATACAACGCACGTATCAATTCCCACACCCGGGTGTTCTGAGAATTAATGAGAGGCGTATTAAGGCAAATCACCACCATCACCATCACTGCCATCATTAGGATCAGGACTTAGTCTACACATAGAAAGTGGGGGGCAGCAATGTGTGCACATGGTCTTGAGGGCACAGTGGCTGGAGGACAAAGGCACCGTCGTGCCCAGGATGTCCAGGAAGCAGGAAAGCTCATGGGAAGGAAGACTCATCCAAAGAGACTGGGAGAATCCACGACGCAGGGAAGGGGGATAGCAATTGATTAGCAATTTCTTGACCTCCACAGCTGTGAATGTACATCTGGCGACCCAGTAATATCCAAGAGTGAGGCCCATTGAGCTACTATTAGATGCCGTGGTGAAACAGCGCCTGCCCAAGTTGCGGTGATTTGTGTAAGTCTGGTCATGATCCGTCAGGCAGAATGGGAAGGGAGCTTTATGAGCATGGAGTCCAGTGAGCTGGTCCTGTCTCAACGGCAGAGCCAGCTGCCTCGCACAGACTCCTCAGCATTGCTGAGATGCTGGGATTTGGGCTGGAAGCCTGAAACTGTGCTACCAAGGGGTTCTCTAGGTAATTCCAAAGTGGAGTTACAACTCAAGTAGGAACCTCATGCATCACCATTACCACTGTCATTGTCATCACCACCACCACCATCATCACTGTCAACACCACCACTATTGTCACCACCAACACCATCACTGTCATCATCACCATCACCACCACCATCGCTGTACCACCACTGTCATCACCATCATCACCACCACCAACACCATCACTGTCAACATCACCACTACTGTCACCACCAACACCATCACTGTTATCATCACCATCACCACCACCATCGCTGTACCACCACTGTCATCACC